TCTCCGGTCATCCGGTCTAAACGAGCACGATCGCGACCCGCGCGCTCATCTTCCGCCGAGCACAGGCAGAATCCGTGCAGTCGTCTAAAAATAGCGGATTCACAGTCGACATGGACACGTTACGTCGACGGCCGGGTCATTAGCATTCCGCCGGCAGCCGCGCCAGGTATTTCGATAATTCGACGGACGGGACGTGTCGCCGATCGTGATCGGCGACAGCGAATTTGCGAAGCGCGACGGTGAGCAGTGTCGTGCGCTCATGTGTCCCACGAAACATTGGTGTCACCGGAGATTCCTCCGTTTCTATGTCGCATCATATATATCCTCTTCCCCCCTCTCCTCTCTCTCTCTCTCTCTCTTCTCCTCTTCTCTCTCTCTCTCTCTCTCTGTCGCACGCGCGGCGCGCGGAGGCGGCCAGCTGGATGGATACTCGCGAAACGCGCCGTCGGAATATCTCCCTTCGTCACGTAAGGGCCGAATACGGAAATTCCAATTACGGCTGCGCCGAAAACTCGCCGATCGAAACTCTCTTCGCCGTCGCGATCCCAGTCGGACGGACTGACTTATGCACCGTCGTCGCGGCGAAGTAGTAACGGCGAACGTGTCTTAAAACCTGAGAGGTCTCAAGATTTCTTATTAAAAATAGCGTTCACGCGAGCGCTGAGTGAGAAAGAAAGAGAGAGAGAGAGAGAGGAGAAGAGTGAGAGAGAAAGAGGAGAGGAGAAGTGGGGGTGTACAAGGAACAGAGAAAAAAGGAAAGGACGCTGGCGCGCGCGAAAAACTCGGTGTCCTTCTCGCTTTATTGATCCTCCAGCGGGAGGCGCAAACGTTCTCCGTATATAAACACCCTTCTAATGCATTCTCCGTTACGATCCGAGCCGCCGCGATAATTAATCGAATAATGGCATGGAAATATTGCACGGGGATTTTTCCTAGCGGGAGAAGGTCGCCGACCTCGTGCCTCGCCGAGGACCCCAAACGCACGCGTATATACGTGTGTGTATATTTACATATATATGTATAAGTGCCCGCTCTCACACACGTAGAGTCGATATCACCGCGCGAGAATGTCGAATGGAATTACGTCAAGAGGAGATATCCTACTCTGTTGGCGCGAGTTTACCGTTTTGCGTTCGAGCGGGGCCTCTCTTACGCCTTCGCGGCACGGCTCAAAGGTTAGAAACGCACTGACCATGCGTGTCACGTATTCCATTGATTTTTCTCCTCGAAATCTGCAGAGCGTGCGATCGGGCGGACAACTCTCTTTCTCTCGTCTCCCTCGCCTCTTCATTCTCCCTCTCTCCCTCTCTCATTCTCCTCTCTCTCTCTCTCTCTCTCTCTCTCTCTCTCTCTCTACCACTCTCTCTCTCTCTCTCTCTCTCTCTCTCTTCTCTTTCTTCTCTCTCCCCTTTCATTCCACTTACTCCTCTCTCCAACCGCGTGTGCATTTTCTTCATATTTTTCGTAACACTTTCATACTCGACTTTAATTTGGTGCCAGACCGAGGCCTGTATCTCTAATCGTTTAGGAGATATCGAAGATTAAAGTTTTCCAACCTTTCTCCGTTGATATCTCCGCTTCTACTGGGAGTGGAGAGTCGTCCATGTAGTCAGAAATGTAGGGTTTTGAGAGGACTTTATTTTGGTGCCAGACCGAGTCCTGTATCTCTAACCGTTTAGGAGATATCGAACCTGAATAGGCGTTTTCTATTACATTTCCCATTACTGCAATTTTTGTACACGCAAGTATTTGAATAGTGAAACTGCACGGAACTGTAAAGGAAAGTAATCGAAACAGCCAAAAACCTCCTACAGAAAGGAAGAGATTTGAGCAGAAATTCATACTCAGTAGCTTCGAGACATTAAGTCAATTAGACATTCCATGTTAATGTAAGTTGCATATTAAATAATAATCATTCATTGTTAATCTCTTCTCTGCTTCGCATTTATTTTCGAGCTTTTCGCATTATGTTTCAAATCAGCATGTTAATATTTGACTTGTGAAAGGAATCGTTAAATTAACAATTGAAACTTAGAGAATGTAATGAAATGCCATATATCATTGATAATTGATATGAGCAATTTCAATCGGTTCAATCGAAGAGCGTTCCATTGTGTAGGTTACAATTGGTTATATAGATAATATTTATATTCATAACATCGTGAAAGATGCCGATGATTCAAAAACACTAAGATTTAGTTTCATAATTAATTTTAACCGTAGTTTAAGACTTATTGAGACAAACTTGCATAGTCGTATTGTTCATATGCATAACTGAAGTAGAACTAATAATTATATAAAAGTGAAGATGATGTCAAAATTAAGTCAAAATAATTTTGACGTTATCTTGACCTTTGATGATTACTTGTTCTAGAGAAGGAAACAGATTAATTGAATGTAAAATATGTCTAATATAAAAGGCACGCTTGTATGGATTATGATTGGTTGATTTTCTTGCGCATATCAATGATGCGATTATGTAATTTTGTTTAGATAGGCTTTTAAAGAGTTGTCTTATTCAACCCGACAAAAAATACGTATATTTCGTTAATTTTTTTTGCGGAAGCGAAAAAGATCACATGATTAAAAGATTACGGGTTTGCTTAATGATGTTTAAAGAATATATATACATTTTTCTACAAGTATGTAAGGTTAAAAATATATAAAATATTGCAGTAAAAGCAAAGAGGTTGCAAATAGACGATTCCAAGGAATTTCCAAATGTGTGTGATATAATTTTTCACAATTATTTTAAGTAGCTTTTTATTTTCTATAAGTATAGCTATCGTCTGAACTACAATCGGAACACAAATAATAAAATGGTAGCATTTAGAACAAAAATCGTATATTTCTGGCCTCTCGGTAAAGTTTAATAAAAAATAATAATTATTAATGAATTTGGTTAATTGTAATTAAAATGGTAAAGAGAAGTCTATTTTATAATGCTGCCAAGTTGCAAGTCGATTGGTCAAATAGTTATTGAGATATCGTGCGCACCGTGGAGAACCTCTTTGCTTTCACTGCAATATTTTTCATATTTTTAATCTTATATGTAGAAATTTATATACATTCTTTACAAACATCACATTAAACAAACCCTCAAAACAAAAATCCTGTAATCTTAAAGAAACAGGATATTAATCTAAAAAATAGAAACGATCAGAAATAACCGCTCGGTACTTCCAATATTAACGAATTATATTCCGGTTAAAATAATATAAATCGTATAATATATTCCGATTAATATAATATAAGTCGTATAATATATTCCGGTTAATATAATATAAGTCGTGAAACTGGACCTAAGTAAGACTTACGTTTAAGCGAATGTTCTCTTGAAACTGAAAACATTAATAATAATAATAATGATAATTATATTTCTATTTATCTTTTTTTCTATACTATCTAACTATCTATCTATCTATTTCTCTATATCTATCTATCCATCTATCTATCTATCTATCTATCTGTCTATCTATTTATCCATCTATATCTATCTCTATATCTATCTATCTATCTATCTATTTATCCATCTATCTTTTTTCTTCCTATATATCATTGCAACCTATCCTGTTCTATCCATATTTCTTGCAAATGCAAACAATGAATATTACATTAATTTTTATATTAAAATATATTTTTTATACTATAACATGCTGAATTAATAATTAATAAAATTCAACAGGTTATACTATAAAAACAAACACTTACGTAAAAAAATTATTATATTATTAAAAAGTTTGCATTTATTTTTTGACGGAGATCACCATTTTCTCGCGGTTTCCGTTGAGCAACAATATGCACGTTATCTATTCTTATCTATTATCTATTCGTAAAATTAAATAATAAAGTCGTAATTGAAATATGATAATAAAACTAATTTCTTTTTTTACTAGACTAAATTTATTTTTGCTACGAAAAGAAAAATGTAACAATGGAATATCTTTTACAAAACAAATAACATTTCATTTAATTTTTAATTTAAATTTATTAGCATAAATAAATTATTCTGTCATATACTTTAATAACAAATCATTTTTAAAAGATGTATATATTGGCTAAGAGTGGATTTCTATTAACTTTTCGTCTCTCATTATAATTCTCTCTTCTTTATTTGGGCATTAATACTAAATATTCTTTATATACATATACACTATATATGTGTCATTTATTTATATATATATTGTCATGTAATTAATATATTTAATCAAGCCGTAAGAACACGAGAAGAGAGGAAGAGCGAGCAAGTGCACGAGAGAGAGAAAGAACGAGCGAGAGAGAAAAAGAGCGAGGTATAGGAATAGCGAGAAAAATCTTGCGGCTCACCCAGTCAGTAAGCTAGACGAGCGGGAAAGAAACAGATAATATGTCGACGTTCGTCTAGTCTCCCATATGCTACCTCGCGTGCGTGAAAAATAATTCCTCGCTTCGCACGTTCCCTTGACACGAGACGCTACCGCGTCTTTTGACGTCTCTGGAGCGTGAAAGATGAAAGAAAAGCGGAGAGATGTTCGCTTAGCGATAAGATCGCTGCTACCTCGCCTCGTGCTTACTGCCGCGCGCCGCTCAGTAGTAAGACAAAGACGGAACGATTGTCTGTCGTCTGTCTTTTTCTAACCTACTATCCATTGCATGGAAGTAGTACGGACACGAACCTAGGCGCATTTTACTTTTATCACCGCGAAAGTGCGCCTAGCGGACGTAGTTTAGGCGCATTTTGGTCAGATGGCGTATCTAAAATGCGCCTAGCCATACCCCCGAAATACGGCCGGTGGCTGCTCTCATTCTTCTCTCTGCTGCCAGTAATTTTGAAACACAGCTTCAGATTAATCGATTTGCTTACTGTTTATCTACTGTTGTTCTATTTGCCAACCGCGTACACAGATTAGACTCGTGAACACATAAACACATAAACATCCACATTCTTATATGTTTTTACATTTAAAAATTTTCACTTACAAGTTTACTCTAGAGAAGAAGATTTATGATTGGCTGCCAATCCGTTAGTTCTAGAACCATTGCAAGTCCAATCAAACGCATCGTACCCACATACAATGCGTTTCACGCATGCGCAAAAATTTCTCTCCCATCATCGCCACCATTCCCTTGTTCATCTACGGATCGTTCATTTTGCTCTTGACCTTCGTGTGGGTTGTGTCGTTGTGCAGTCGTCTGACGAAGAAAAAGGTATGTACAAGATCGAAATACACATTTCTGGTATCCGTCGTCATCCACGTGCACTCGTTGCTTCATCATCTCATGACAAGCTTTTTGCAGACAATTCTTCTTGCGTATGATATTTTCAATTATATTTTTTAAGTTATAATATTTTAACATAAAATGCCACGTTCCTCACACGTTTCGATGATGACACGTTTATAGTCTCGTTCGTATGATCGTTTCTTGATTATAATCTTATCATGGATCTGATTATGTTAATTCTCATGTATAACGTTGCCACGTGTTTTATATACCGTTGATTGAATTCAGTATTCCTGTTTTTAGAATGGGATTTGTAGAACTAACCCGCTAACGAACATCGGAGAGTGTCTGTTAACTATTAGGTCAGTCAAAAAGCTCATGTTGTAATTACTTGAGAATGAAATTCGACAAGATGCATTTGCTCCATGTTACAAAAGCTGTATGATAAGTACCAGTATTTAACGACAGACGATGCCACACAAGTGATTCTGGTTCTGGTTCAATAAATGGTTCTGAGCAGAGCTGTCCTATGCCAGTCAACGGTTACGAAAGTAAAAGAAAAACGGACAACGCGTATGCAGTTCACACGATCAAAAATATGCATAGTAGCAGGAACCACATCCAACCGTCACGAAGGCGAACAAAAGACTCCACACAAGTGGCACTGACATAAAATCTGTATACCATTGTGTAAACGCCTCTTTCAAACGAAAATGGAAAAAATTGAATATCGTGCAGTGATTAAATTCTTTGTTTTGGATGGTTTGACACCAACAGAAATTCATCCGAAATTGTTAAAAGTGTATAAGGATGCATCACCTTCACTTTCCACTGTGAAAAAATGGCCGCTCTTTTTAAATCTGGTCGTACAAGCCTCAAAAATGATCCACGCGAAGGTCGTTCAAAAACTGCTATAACACCACAAAACATTCAACAAGACCATGATATGGTGTTAGATGATCGACGAGTGAAAATGCGTGAAATAGCTGAGACCATAGGCATCTCAAAAGAACGATTTGGAAATATTTTGCATGAAAAATTACATATGAAAAAGCTTTGTGCAAGATGAGTGCTGCATTTGCTAACAATTGACCAAAAACGCATTCGAATGCGTATTTCTCAAGCATGTTTGGATCGTTTTAAGCAAAATGAAATGGATTTCGTTTCATAACTGTTGGTGAAACTTAGATCCACCACTATACACCAGAGCGAAAAGAACAGTCGAAACAATGGATTGAAGCCAGTGGAACTGCACCAAAGAAAGCAAAGACGATTTCATCAGCAGGAAAGGTTATGGCAACAGTTTTTTGGGATTACAAAGGTGTTTTGTTGATCGATTATCTTCAGAAAGGTAAAGCAATTAACTCTAAATATTATTGTAACCTTTTGGATCTATTGGATGCAAACATTCGTGAGAAAAGACCTGCTTTAAAGAAGAAAAGAATCATTTTCCATCAAGACAATGCACATGTTCGCACAACTGTTTTGACAATGGCAAAATTCAACAGATTAAAGCACGAATTGCTTGAACATCTAGCGTATTCACCAGATTTGACTCCCTCTGACTATTATCTGTTTCCAAACTTGAAAAAATTTCTGGCTGGAAAGTGTTTTACATCAAATGACGAAGCTATTGCAGCCGTGGATATTTTGCAGACCTTCCGGAATCGTACTTTAATAATGGTATTGAATTATTGGAAAAACATTGGAACAAATGTATTGAAGTTTCAGGAGATTATATTGAAAACTAAAACATTTCACGGCAAAAATAATTTTCTTTCATTGTTAGGCCGAGAAATTTTCAGACTGCCTATGTAGATAATGATAATGAAGTTCTAAGAGTTTACTTGATTAATGAATAATTGATATTTTGTTAAATACAATAAATTGAAATTGGAACTTCATGACTGATCCAGTAGATCATGCTCATCCATACTCATTTAAGTAAGTATCATTTTGTTTATTAAACTTTGGAGGAAATATTGTAACCTTAAAGTGCTAAAGTAAGCATTTTTCTTTATCTGTCTCATGTTTTAGTCAGATTATGTTTAGATCATATTCAATTACCAGTCAATATCTTAAGAAATATATTTGAAGATATTGCTTTCAATTTATTTTTATCAATATTATAAATTGTGCATATTAATACAATTAGATGAACAAAGCATGATGCGATCTTACTGCCCCAGTCTGAGAATCTATGACTGATTCAGTTTACTGATAAAATCATTTCTCAAGTTTTTTTTTCAGTAATCTCTATGAACTGTATATTAATATATAATTCTTTTAACAGGAAATAAAGTGACTTGCAGCTCATAATGAAAACTTTCTAACTGTTTCTAAAGATTGGGAAATTTATGTAAGTTAAAATTACTTCATATAAGTTAAAGTTAAATTTATATTACATATCACATCTTTTAAATTGAAGGAAATCTGTTATATCAATATTATAATTAAGATATGATGAATAAAACAGCCCTAGTCAATCAGAATATACATGAAGAATAATGTTATTTCTGAAAAATACAAATCTTGGTGAAATCATACAAATGTAGTGGTATATTCTAATTGTGACATTATTTTATTTCAGATATCTTTCTAGAAAATGGATGATAATAGGAACAACAAATCCTGACCATAAAATAAAAAAAGTATGTCAGTTATGTAATTAAAACTTTCTAAATGAATTTTCGATACAATATGAAAGAGAATGTTAGATAAAACTTTTTTTTTAATGATGATTTATTAAGTTATCCCTGTCTTACATGTAAACATGGTGATATGAATTATCTGATTTAATAATGTATGTTACTCCTAGCGGACTGTTATATAAGTAACAAAAATTAATGAAAATTAATTTCTTTTAGGAAGAATGCAAGATACATATGAATGTGTTTATTTGCCAGGAAATAAGATGAAGTTGGCCTTCAATAGGAAATCACAGTATAACATAAAATGATATAGAGAAATATTTTATGATTTCCGGATATATATGCCATGTTCATTTTGGATTTATTCCCAATGTTCTGTGAACATTCCAATTCATTTCTTCAAGGACAGAAACACCCCTAAACACAGAATAAATCTGCTATGATGAATAATGTTAAATCTTGTTGGAGTTTTCCAAAGTCTAGTAAGAATTTATACATTCCTTACATTCTAATACATTCTAATATTTATATGATGATCAAACCTGACAAGCATATGTCTGAAAATATTTTGCTGCAAAATTTTTATCTGATAACCAAATATTGAAATTACTGTGCGACTAAATTATATATTTATTAAATATTAAGAAGATTCTGATTTCATTTGTGTGTAGATCAGCATCAATTCACAATTTGTGGCGACATAATCGACTGACTTGTGCAGATGAAATTTAAAGGTAAACATGCGTTGGAACGAACAATGTCTTAAATTATACAAGAAGTAATGCTTTAAATATTTCAATTTTGCAAAATGTAAAATACACAAATGATGAGAAAAAAAAATATACGCTATAATGACATATATGATTAAAACTTGCCCTCACTGATTCGTCGATAAATAAAAATTTTTTTTTTCTTTTTATACATCCGATTTAATGATTTTCCATTGCAGGTACATGAATGTGGCTCTAACATGAACATCGAGTACTTCTATGTGAGAAATATAGAGGTAATTGAGCATTTTGTACAAAATATAAGTGTGACACCATTTTTTTATTAATATTTTTGGTAAATAAGTAATATATACTTAGATGCGAGTTATTTTAACGCGTAAAAGCTTCGTGGCATGTATTTTCAATCTATATGTTATTTTTTTTAATGATGTTTATAATATACGCTATGATAAGAGAGCTGATATTAATTAGATATTTCGCTGAAATTATAAATAGATAATGTAAGTTGCAGTTTACGCGTGTCATTAGTTGATTGATTTTATTCTATTCTATTTTAGGTATAGACATGGAAAAACCGTAAAGTAATAAAATAAATAAAATGTAATAAACAAGAGGAAATAAATAGCGGATGCTCCGTAGAAATACGATTCTTTTATTGGAACCTTTATATTACGTCTAAAGTACAAAATACGAAGTAATATGCGTTCCTTTTGGACTAGATACCCATTCCGCGTAAACGTAACAGCGCAAGACCGCACAAAAATGGTACTACGAATTTACACTTCATTAGTAATCTCAATCGATGACATACCAACATTGTCCGAAACGGATTACTGCAAGATTTTACTTATATATAAGAAAACATTCTGTTTTCTTCGTTTTCATTTTATACTCTAGAGGGGGAGGTTGTATATACTAAGAATGGGATACTCGAAACTTTGAAACGTTTCTCGAGGATTCTCGAAACCTGAGACAGAGATGCCGTTTTCAAAAAGAAAGTTGAAAGTTGAAAAACTATTGGAAGAAATAGAGTTGATAAGAATTTTAGTTTTTTAGTTTTTTTTATATACACGCGCTCAAAAATAATTATTTTCATTTAATTTCCATCTATAATTATGTTTAATAAAAATTTAATGCGATCCGAAAAATTATCTAATTTTCAGTTTCTGTATTAAGCACTTAATTTTTTGATAAAATTTTGTTGAATTTTTAATTTTAACGAAAAGTACTTTTGACAATTGATGCATAAAACAGGTCATTATATAATTACACTTTTCTTCGCTAAAACAAAAGTGTTTTCTACACTTAAGTATTATTTTTATTGACGTAAAACAATTTTAATTTTCCATCATATATACAATCACATATGTATACACATTAATTTTTAAGCATTGGATCCATTTTATGCATAATTATCCGTTTTAGCATTTCAGGTTTGAAGAGTTTCGAGGTCTTCTAAAGTTTCGATTTTAAGTTTTGACCCATCCCCAATGTATACGATAAAATAATTATTTAACGATTATATAACGAGGAAAATGATAATTAGAGTGAAAATTAGGGACGTGAAATTCTAACCAGGAATTATCCTTTAGCCACAAACATGACTGTAATGCCCAGCTTTTAGCTCCTCACTGTCCAAACTCTAATAATAATACTATCAAGGTAATAATATATCTATCGAAATTATAATACTAAAATTTTTAAGTGAATGCACATTATAATAAATCTTGATCGATTCACACAGAGAGCAGACGATAATATAGTGCCCGGTGCGTACAATGCAAGGACGCGAGAAGTACAATCGCGCGAGTACACATATATAATGTAACGTAATTGCACTATAATACATAACGAAGTGTGTACCGGACAGGTTGTCAGTCCTGACTGCTAATCGATAGCGTGTAAAGATTCGAAAAGGTATCTTATGATCTAAGTCTCGCCAGCAAACAGCTCACGATGATATAATTCTATAATATATCTAAAATGTGCAGTGCTATACGACCGTGTCGTACGTTATAAAAATTACGCGCTCGCGCAAGTTGGTCGCGTCCGTATTCTCGATGATCGTCGGCCGCGTCGAACGAAGGCCGGTAGAATGGAAACTCGGTGTTCTCGTTCTCGACACGTTCTCGTTCTTGAAACATCGCGGGCGCCGACATGAGCAAGAAATTCAATATTCGAATGTTCCATAGGGTGAACGAGTTAACTGATATCGCGATCGCATTTCCTCTATGAATCACATTGAATGTTGTCGGTGGAAAGTTTTTCCGTCAGGTAGCGCAGATATAAGATTCTCAACGTTGCCGATGATTCGAAATGTTGCAAGACTCGATAAACTCGCGCAAAAAGATTTCGGGTGTCACAATTATCGATGATTAATACCCTCTTCGCCATTAACCCCCCGTTTCTTAATAATGAACTGCAATCTTACAAGTGTACACGTATGACACGAAATAACTTTCCGAAAAATTCACAGCCTTTAGAAACATTTCGAATGCATCCGCGACGACACTTGCGTCGATATGGATAGACAATGGATTTTCGCCGACACACCAGGGTCTCAGGAACTTGGTGTATATCCTTCGTGCCCAACATATCCTCGATTCAAAACGTATTAGGCTGTCATACGGTCGAAAAATTACGAACAAGCTCTGTATCCGTCGATCTGTTTTAGAAAGAACGGTTCGTCTTAATTGGTCTCGCAAAGTTGAAAACTTGGTGGCCTTCTCCGATTAATCGACATTCGTGCATACGTTCATTACGTCGTCTCTCTTATGAATGGCCGCTAGCACCTTTTCCGTACATATTTAAACAAACTATGTACTGTGTGTCGCAATTTCGTTCGCTATACCGACACGCTATACATCATATCTACATTGAGCATGCGATCCGCCAGTTGTCACAACTGGAGCCGGTAGTCCGTGATAGGATCGAAGTCCTTCTGGTGGGTGGAATTTGAGGCCATCACATATCCCCACAGTCGCATGGCGGTCGCGCAAGCCTTCTGTATCTCGCGCACCTCCTCAAAGTCCAAATCCGCCCGCCAGTGGAACGGCGCGACCTTGGAATTTCGGAAGGTGCTCGATACGCCACCCACGTCGTTCTTGGTGTGCGTGTCCAGAAATCGCTTCACGTTCACGTGGAAGTCCAAGCCGTAGAAATTGTAAAGTTCCTTCACGTGTTTGTAGGGGTCCACGGATAGGTCCTCGTAGCGTACCACTCTGTTAGAAATTGAAATAAAAGCAAAGTTCAGAGTGTCAACGTGGACGAAATGTATAACAGTACACAATTACTAAAAATGAAAACTACATCGAGTAATAAACCTGTATGGCAAAAATCGACTTTAACACTCGTGTTCGAATAACGAAATGATTATGATCGCATCTTATGCGAATCGTGATACCTGAATGAATGCGGATATTTTTTCGAGAGTTCTACCGCTGCGATAAAATCCGATACCATATCTGCGCAAACCAGAGTCGGATCGGAGCAGTCGGGTTTGGCGGGGCACCATTCTCTGTGCTTTCTAGATTGCAGGATGCCTCTCGGATCACGGATGAGTAGGACTAATCGCACTCCTAAACTACAACGCGAACAAATGCATTTCTATAGACTGAAGTAACACGATATCTGAACGTCTGACGAACGTTCGCTACAGGTCAGACGTGCTTTGGATATCTCCGAATATAATAATGCTTCTGTTCTCAATGTTGATTTCTTACTCTTCCTCAGCCAGCAGTTTTTCCGCCGCGCGCAGCCTCAACCGTACAAGCTTCATCGACTGGAAAGGAAATAATCGGCAAAATCTGGATACAAAACGCGGATCCCAGCAGATACGTTTATGCGCCTGGCATTGTCGCCACAAGTGGGTGTTGTGGTTGAAAACCCAGGGATGAGTCTTTCCGTAGTTCAGGTATCGATCTGCAGCAAATACAATTGCATAGTTTTCCAGTTTTATGATAAGCCGTTCTAAGCAAGTACAATTGGTGAAATTACCGAGTTCTTTGAATTCACATTTCAGCAGAGAAATTATCTTCGTTAATGATTCGTCAGCGAGCGGCGGCCCTCTAATCTGTACGATTCCGTAGTCAAGCAGCGGCTCATAATGATAAAAATTCGCTGGATGTGCATTCACCACATCGCCGAGAAACGTGCTGCCACTTCTCCAACTTGTCAGAATTATGCTCCTCATGGGTCTTCCTCCCTGTTCCATCACTAGATCTTCGAGTTTGCTGCAATAAACAGATGCGAAAAAAGGTTTAACATTTTTTTCTATATCTTAATTTCCCGCATTTACAAGAGAGTTCTTGAAAGTAATGTTCGAATGCACGTGACATTTACCTCACGTTTATTCCATACTTTCCGTTTGGATATTCATAATTTTCCATATCCCGTTTAATCGCCCTTCTTTGCTGATCAATCACATCTTGAATCTCGTTAATCGTTGAATTGTCCGCGGATCCTGTGATGTACGCCTAAAAAGTAGATTGATTACGTTATAAAAAAGAAGTATTTTACTATATTTGTTAGCGACATTACGAATTAATTCAGCGTTAGAGGACACAATTTTAAAACGGATATACAACACGCGTGTCTTAAATAAGAAACAGAAAAAGTAACAATTTCTCAAAACTCAATTACACAGAAGCAAGTGAGTTTCTATAGAAAAATGTTATCGGTGTCAACTCGCTATTTTAAGAGATTAAAACTGTGTAAATTATATGGATTCGTGTATAATCGCGGTCATAAGGTCATAACATAAGTTTTTTTTCGATATGTTCCGAAACTCATATGATTAGATAATTGAAATCTCTCCAGAATTTTTCAAAAACAAATCTTTCCGTGAAACATCGGTTGTACTCCGGAGTACATTGTTGAATGTGTCAATCTTTACGGCCACGATTACACGTGTTAATATATTTGCAATATCCGTTTTTATATTTTTTTCATCCATTTGTTATACAAGACGTAATTTAAGTATGCATACATGATGAGTACCACTTATTTTTTACGATTTAAAGCAAGCAAAGTGAAAAGCTATTTTCGAATGTTATTTCAAAGCAGAGGGAATAAGAACTAAACGCAAGTAATGTGCAATAAATGAGTATTTTTTTATAGATCAGTTTACACAGTTTACACAATCACACTTTGGGAGATATACGGTATTGTACTAAAGATACTAAAGATACTAAAGATAAAATAATAATAAAGATAAAAATAATAAAAACAAAATGTACAAAAACTAAAGGTTTAATTTTATTGACGATACATGCTATTTTATTGGTTTCGTGATTCGACATCATAAATTTGATAAAATGTTTTGCTATTAGTCAACACAATCACGTAAAAATACGTTGTTATTTACGTAAGAACACATTATATGACACTGTTATATGACAGACTGTAAAAAAATAGTATTTTAGAAATTATTACTTATTAATACTAAGATTTTCTATAAGATCTGAGATACAATAGATAGACGTCTCTGGGAAGGAAAAAGTATATCACGAATTTCTCTAAAGGTCATTCTACAATACGTGTCGTAAGTTGTAAGCCGTAAGAACTTTATAGCCAATTATAGCCAATTATTTTTGTAATAATCGACTGTGGTTCGCCAATTTTTACGGTTTACAACTTACAACATGTATTGTAGGATAACCTTAATATTTGCATCAATATGAAGATAAGATAAGGCTCTCTAACACTGTTTTTTAGTAAGAAGCGACAATATTTACACATATTTAAATTGATACACACGTGCATACCTGGCTTACCGTTACTGGTTCTTGAATTTTTGTAGTCCGTGGCCTTATTTCAACATCCTACATCGAAGAAGAAAGCATCGATGTTTTAGCGTTTTCGATTGTGCGTCTGCATTGTGAGTACGAATGTATCTACCATTGATGTGACATACGATAATGATCTTTCTCCCTCTTTCTCGACGGCGTGTTAATCTTTGTAAAAGATGCACAAGAGTGCTGATACCGGTGAGTGTACCATGAAGTTGTAGTTGTTACATATCAGTTAAAGAAGCGAAAGTATATTAAGAGTGAAAGTGTATTATTAGTGCTAATCTACAAGCATCTACTAGTTTCGATAAGTAATATTATACGTGTTTTCCATATTGTATTTAAATTCCAGACAAAGAATAGGCGTATCTTTCGATAATTCATAAATAATGCGAGTTATCAGTTTATACAAAGTTATCAGTTTATGCAATTATCAAAGATATCGAATCGCAACAACACGTAGTTTGATGTTATCTATCAAGTACTTTTTTCGGGTATTTTCACTTCCTTATTATCTCGTGAGCAACATTTCAAACTGAAGTGATTCTGAGTCCATATAATAGCATTTGAAGATAATTATGTGTAAACGTGTCATAAAAATGACGCATCTCTGGAGATATTCCGATATATTGTCCTGAAACAACATGAGAAAGGAGAACAGGAGAGTAGATGGAAACAGGGAGAAAGAGAATCACCAATCTTTTATGCAGTTCCTACAAGAATACCGTTAGTGTATGAAGAGAGAGAGAAAGAGAGAGTTAGATAAAAAAGTTAGGTGCGAAAGTTAGAATTTACCATCGGAAAGAGCGTGTTTGGCGTGACTCAATTTTAGAGCAATCCCCACCTCCGAATTTTTACTGACCGATATCACCGGCTGCAGTCGATGCTCAAGGTAGCTGCTGTAGCGCTGATTAAACGCTAGGAAGAAGATGCAGACGGACGCCAGGCCTACCAGACCATAGAAACTCAGCCGCCTCGACATCCTTATTCTTACAAAGCGCAGCAACTTAAAAAAGATAAAAATCATTCATACATATCGAATGTAAGTATATACGAGGTAATAAATCTATTCTCGCAATTATTAAATTTCTATTTTAAAGTTCAGCTAACGTTGAAACAAAGCGTTGAATGAGCATTTAAATTATCTCTGTATTTCGAGGGAAAAAAACACAAGGATGATTCACCTTATCATAATGAAGATCTCTATTAGTAAATTCTAGATAGGGACGAAACATACAAACAAGACGTCATCGCCAAAAGTATTATTTAGAAAAATATTTATTTTGCTATCTTTTGTATCTTTTTGCAAGGTTTATCGCGGAAAGATTCTAATTTTTCCTGTATGACGTGATTATGCGTAGAAGTATAGACTCACAAGATTCGTACGAATTAATGCCTTTTAAATACTTTATTGGAATCTATCCGACACTTTACACACAAACAGTAATCAAATTTTTATTCAATTATCTTTATCACAGCTTAATATAATGTATGCAACAGAGAGACACAGCAAGAGGTAAACATTCTGTTTTTATTGAAAATGTCATAAAGTGCCGCAATTGTTCGGTAAACAGTAACGAATCCTGCTAGTATAAATCACGTTTGCGATAACGGCATCAGTAACGCCATTTATTAATGATTAAAAAGTACCGTCTCACGGGACAGCATCAAACGGCTCAACTCTGCGCGCATTAATGTTTCGTTCTCGCGTGACCGCGGGGGATTGAGTAGCGGTGAAGTTAATTAAATAAAGATTGCGGTAACGATGAAGAGAGAGAGAGAGAGAGAGAGAGAAAGAGAGAGAGCGTAGTTTTTTCCCTCTTTATAATTCGGCGATAACGGGAGCGCGATAAGGTCGCGAGCGCGCGCGACGAAACGATCGATTGAAATTAATTGCGGTAACGGGAACGCGATTCGTCTCACTTTCTGTGTGTGTGTGTGTGTATGTGTATGGAACGAGATCCTCCGCTAATAATATAAATAAAACTTTGTCATCGTCCGCACCGACGGAAATTCTCCATATCACTGGGACCAAATGCTATTCGCTATTATCTAACGCCGATATGCAGCACAGTGGTAAAACATCCGCGGACAACTCTCTCAAACGCGCGACGATCTACTGCGCCGCTCTATAACCGCAAACAAACAACGCACTCCGTATAAAAAACATAAAATAAGAGAAAGAAACGGAATTTTCCGAGACGCTCGAGCTCGAAGTCGGAAGTCTTGAATTTTTGAAAATTCGAATGAGGCAATATGGCGGATGCAGAGGTCTGCACACCCGATAAATGCGCTATAGCGCTAGATTCGATTTTCGTGCGGAAGTTCACGTCGACGGGCGACAGTCTTTCGATGATCGAAATCGAGTACGCGCGTACCATCGATCAAGCCGGCCAAGTTATCGTTCTCTTTCCCTGTCCTCTATCTCTCTTTCTTAATCACAGTCCCGACACATAGTTTATCCATAGAATGCGAGTGAAGAATGAAGTATAGTTGCGGTTTGCGGCTGACGTGGTGCGTTGTTAAGAGACATCCGATCGAGCTTTAGTGCTCTATTACGGCTCAACGAACGCGACGGAAAGAGGAAGACGATCGAATTCGCGGGTCCGATGTCGGCTCGCAAGATTGCACTAGCGGCTGAATAAAAGCGACGTCGAATGGAGCCCGAGAGAGGCGGCTAGTCATCAAGCGGAGGCGGCGGGCGGAAAGAACGTCCGTAACACGCGTGCGAATCACAACAAACTTCGACGGCGGCGGCTAGAACAGTGCGGCGGACGCGCGATTCCGCCACTCGCTGTTGATACTGCGAAATTATACCGCGATAAGCTAATTGTTACGCGATTTCGCAAGCCGCCGGGCGGGGACGAGGCGCTTCCTCTTTCTCTCGCTCCTGCAATCGCGCTCCAAGTTCCCTCCCTCTCTCTCTCCCTCCTTCTCTCTCCCTCCTCTCTCTCTCTCTCCCTCTCTCTCTCTCTCTCTCTCTCTCTCTCTCTCTCTCTCTCTCTCTCTCTCTCTCTCTCTCGCTCGCTCGCTCGCTCACGTCGCACTCGCATACGCCGGCGGAACGGAAACGTGCCTCCGTCTTCGTTTCTCTTACCTTGGAATTGCGCTGCTGTACATTCGGCCGCACGACGACGTCAATGACAACGGCGCGAGGACGCTCGTCATGCCGCTCAATTCCGAGCGGGCTGCAACGACGGCTGCAGGAGTCGCGCGAGCTTGCGATCCACCTCGAGGACGTAAGGACCACAAGCGGCGCGATGCCGACAAGCGATGTCCATCGCGACGGTCGACGACGATCGGTGGCCTACTAACGGGCGGTCGACTCGCTCGGCCACACTCAGGGAGGCGAGGCGACGTCGGCGGCGGTAGAGCAGCCGTATTGCGGCTCGTGCCAGGCGCGGCGCGCCATGTAGGCGCAATACGATATACCATGTCACGAGGTTCGTTCGTTACGGCTGCACTTTGCACACCTCGTTCTCTCTTTCCTCTTCCTTTCTCGTCGCAGTTGGGAGGATGAGAAAAAGAGAAAGAAAGAAAGATATATATATAGAGAGAGAGAGAGAGAGAGAGAGAAAAAGAGAAATCCGTTTACCTGCATTGCATCCTAAACGGGGAGGGTGGTGAGAAACGAAACTGCCAAAAGGAATGAGTTTCTAGGCGTCACGTGTAAAAGCGGCGGGCTACGGATGTACCGAGAATATTCCACGTATGGATCGCGCACGTTCTCGTCTTGGACATGGTCAGAGCTAGGTGTACTTTTTGTATACACAGTTTCTTCTTGTTCTCTAGAAAGGCTCTCGGCACCGTTACGGCACCTCGTACGAGACACGCAACATTGCGTTCGGTTAGTTTATTAAATTCGCGTCTAGGCAGAGAGCATTAAAATGGCGATCAATCAGAATTAGCTGCGCGATATATATCTATGAAAATACGGAATGACACTGTTACAAGCGTAGCGTTTATCCTCTCATAGCTACCCCTTTTCCCGACAATCGATAATCGTACATATCGAAAACATCACGCTCGGGATAATCCTCAAGAACAGGAAGAGAGCTAGATGTGACGCGACGTCTTGACGTCAGCAGTGCGCTATCTAATTCAATCTTGGCTCTCGAGGTCTTTCAGCGAACGAGCAATGCGGCCTCGCGAACGGGCAAATTCAAATCGCTCGGTAGGTTACGAATTGTCGCGCTAATTTGGTACGCGCGACGGCCGTGCGGCGGCGCTAGTGGCGCCGCGCAACCCGTCGTACTCTCTCGACGGCGAATTTCAGTCGGATGCTGTTGCTCGAGCGGCGCACTCGTGTTCGCGGGGAGGTTCGTCTCGCAGCACGCGCGCGCGTGTCGTTCTTCTCTTTTCCCTCTTCTCCTGACGGACATGACGCGCGGCGAACTGTAGCAGTTTTTGCTCGCCCAAAGGGTATCAATTTACCTAACTCATCTCGTTCATTCGTCGCGTCACGCATTTTCACTTCGTCACCGCTCTCACGACGCACACGCGGACATACGTACTCTCTCTCTCTCTCTCTCTCCTCTCTCTCTCTCTCCCCCTCTCCCCCTTGTCCTCCCAGTCGTCCCTCGATCCCTCCTCCCGCCGGAGCAAGCCGAAAACTCGTTATGCTCCGGGTTTCTCGTCTCCCGAACCGGTAACACTTCGTGATTAGCGCGCGCGCACGCGAGAGAAAGAGAGAGAGAGAGAGAGAGAGAGAGTGTGAGAGTGAGTGAGAGTGAGAGAGTGCTCGATCTTCGGCCATCGTCGCCCTCGTCGCCTTCCGCGCGCGGTGTCGTTGGAGAAAACGTCAAGCGCGAGAGAAACAAAACGCTAGCCGTCCTCGGACGAGATGCGTCGCGTCGCCGTGTCGTCGTGTCGTCGTGCTCGCTCTCCTCGGGACTTGTGACGACGTGAACGGAATATCGCGTCGCGACGGAGCCGAAGGATTTCGGGAGGTGCGCCGCGGTCCGGTCATTCCACGGTCGCCGCCGCCGCCGCCGCCGCCGGCTGCTGCTGCTGTTCTTGCTGCTTGACGTCGCGACGAACAGCCCCTGTGTCGGAGAAGGAGAGCACATCTCGGCAGCCGGGAGGATGCGCAGCTGAACGGATTGCTGGTGAGTAATACTTTCCAAATATTCCGCATTGTGAAGCGTCCTCCATCGTTGCGGGCAAACATACACACTAGAGATACACCGAGGATCATGAGTCGGCATTTCTTCGATTTGAGCTTTGTTTTCTCCACCGCTGAAAACTCCCCCCCGCACTACCTGGTGCCCCCTTTTCCTCTCTTTTCGAGGACAGGTCTCGATTGTGTTAGATTTACTTCTCTTTCCAAGTTCGATGATACGAAGGAAACCTCGAGCACCACACCGACGTTGACGGATCGGCTCGTTGAGTGTCCTGTGTGTAGTAAGACTGCCACACGAGAAAACTCGTATGTTTGTCACGTCACTTGGCGCTTCCGCGATATTTCTCGCTGCGCGTATCGCGCGCGATCGCGCGGAATTCGCGAGGATGATTGCGCATTGTTCGCGGAAGAAGTACGGCGTCCGCGGATACAAAAGAACTCGTGACTAATTGAGGTTTTAAAAGCGGGATTGCGCAATATGCTTAATATAGCACGAATCTCGCCATACATCTTGAGTAATTCCCCGTATCTGCCTGTAAATTGTGATATCATTTGTTGCTTGTGTTTGGTGTTTATGTAAAATACTCCCGTAGGTTTAATCGTAACGACTGGTTCTCGGATGAATTTAGAACTAATCTCTTCCCCGTGAAAATATGCAGGTATCGGTGTTTTCGCGCTTATAAACGAGAGAGAGAGAGAGAGAGAGACAGAGAGAGAGAGAGAGAGAGAGAGAGACGATTTTAAAAAATTAAATTAAATTTCACGATTCCGTATAAAACTTTTTTGTCGCATGATATTATGAGTTTTGACAATATTTGTACTGTGAAAAGCGCGCTGTGAAAAGGATTCTTTTCTATTCCATTCAAAAGTAAACGTAGCGACATACCTAGAAACTCCACGGGGTAAACAATTACGCAGTAGTAAACACACGACACACACATCCAGAGTGATCGACCTAAACCTCCGCCGAGTAAGCAATTGCCTGGCATTAAGCGACACTTTATGCGATTTAAAATCACGTTGATTCGATTCGTCGCGCGAATTCAGTAACGATTAGTTCATTTCAGTCGAGTTAATTTCAGCGTTACTTGATGCGGCCCGAATTATTATGTCGTCGCAGCTCTCGCGATTGCCTTCCGTTTGATCGCTTTTTCTTCTTTTCAACTGAAACGGAGATTAGTCTTCCCATTAGCGGGAATCGAACGAAGCCCGCGCGAAATCTCTCCCCGGAATGAGCGGATCGCGTCGTTTTCGAGATATCCCGTCATCCCGCGTGCCGACGGTCCCTCATAAACGGCGTTTGACAATAGCGAAAACTCGTTACGCGAACTGCGGCGGCGGCGGCGGATACTCGCGTCACTTTCCACTGCGCATCGGAGCTTCATTACATCACGTAACAGTAGCTGGATATTCAATGCGGCCTCGTTACAGTGAACATTTCATTTTACCAGCAGTTGTCGCGGCGGAATTTCGCTGCGTTTTCGTTCGCTTCCGTCGCTCGCCGTCCAACAGCGCGCCCCGTTGTGTATCTCTTCGCTAGCTCGCGAACGAGACAAGCGATAACCGCCGTAACTATTCCATACTTGCGTCCATTCCCCCCCCCCCTCGAACAATATTAATTCATCCTCTCGCTTTCGGTCTGTAGGTATCCTCGGATATTAAGAGATGGAAAATGGAGGCAGCGATATTTCGGCGTTTTATTTTTGTTATCTTAATAGATCCGTGGTTTGAAAGCGCTAGTTGGCGATTGTTGCGAGCGCGCAAGTTATATCCGCGTGATAACATATCGTGCGGCGCAAAACGCTTCTGATAAAAGTAACAACGTGAGTTAAAACCGGAATAACTAATTGCTCGCGCGCGCGAATTCTTGAAGGATTGTATTTCGCTCAAGTCACTCGATGAAGTGAGATTTTCCTGGGAGTTCGAATCGAATTCAAAGAATTCGAATAACGTAGGATGAAGGAAACAACGATGACACATGCATGGAGCGCATCCCCCGGATACGATGGTCTCGTTGACATTCCTTTCGTCTGCGGGTACTTTGACCAATTCGAACTGAATCTCTCCTCGGCGCAATTTCACCGCATCGCTTTAACGTTAGATCTTAAATATCTTCGTGTAATCGTGTGTAACTGATCTTCTAATTAAAATCTTCAGCTGAAGTATACTCGTACTACTAAATGATAGCTAGAATTACGTCATTATCTGCAACTCCGCAGCCTAATCGATCCCTGGATGTTGGATCCTTCATTATTCAACAACTATTTGTCGCAATATATCCTTTACGAAAGAAAGTATTGATCGAAGAATTTGCTAATGAAAGCGAGAATTCCCAGGCCGAAATTTAAAATCTATATTTGAAGCCTCGCGAATGCTGTTTTGTGTATCTGATGGTGCTTCGTAGGCTCTCATCTTGAAGTTCTCAACGCGTTCTTCTTCGTGTCTGTTCAATGTTACTGTTCATGTTACTATAAACAGAGAAACATTAGAGAGAATACAGACTCTTTTTCCTTTTCATTCATTTTGAATAATCTTTATTAAAATATTTAATATCTGCGTATTATACCTACAGTTTGTCTCTCTGCTGTTAAATAAATTATATAGTGGACTTTATTTATTGAAATTGAGAATCAAAATTACACGGTGAGATTGGAATAATGGAATATCAAATTATACCGAAGCACCACCGAAGGAAAACGATATGCGGTGCTTCATCTCGAGATTTTCCATTTGACTCTTCAAGCGCGATGAAATTTATAGGGTTAAAGTAGGATCAAATTTCGACTCGGGCTAGGACAGTTTTGTGTGTACATGTCTGTGTGTGTGTGTGTGTGTGTGTGTGTGTGTGTGTGTGTGTGTGTGTGCGTGTGTGTGTGTGTGTGTGTGTGTGTGTGTGTGTGTGTGTGTGTGTGTGTGTGTGTGTGTGTGTGTGTGTGTGTGCGCGCGGTTGATTATCGCACACACAAGCATATATACATCAGACTATCGGTAACCGTTTTGATACTTGGTGTGATATTCATGCGGTATTCGATTCCATTGTTCGATCTCTATTATAGTACGCGTCGCGGAAAGTTTCGTAGACACGTAATCACGTTATCACGTTTTGTTCGTTTCACTGCGACGTGAAGCGTTCGCACGAGAGATCGCGTCAGCGTGGTTCAGTTTTCGTTGGCGACATGGAAATAATTCAGATGCAATTACCCGTAAACGGGGTCTATAAGCGGACTCTAGAGAGTCAGTGCGCGACGACAGTATACATCAGTGTTGACAAAATCAATGCGAAAGACTAGTGACCCAATTGTGTGACTCGGAGTAATCTTTATAAGAAAAATGAAGTAACAGAGCTCGCGCGAGCAAAAGTAAACCGTCCGTGTCTAACTTTGAAGAGAACAAACAGCGTGTCTGGCAGCGTGTTTCACTAGCGTACTAAGCTTAGACGAGGAAATTAGAGGAAACATAGATAGTGTACATCAAAATAAAATTAATAAATTCAAGGGAATATTTTTCTCGGGCAGAGTAAACGAAATTTGAAACGGAACGTTCTCGGACTCTCGAATGAAGGTGCTTACACTTTGAAGTGTAAGAAATTGAGATCTCGATTTGAGGAAGTGGTTCAGAAATGACATTAAAAGACAATAGAGAAAGTCGTACGTTGTACAAACGAGAGGGAGAGAAAGAGAAGGCAAGGGGCGCAAGGCGCGCTGCGGCGCGGCGTGCACCTTTCGCGGGACACGCTGTATATGTCGGTCGAATCTATTTCTGTGGCGGCGTGTTGTCAATCGCGTGCACCTAGCTCGGTCACCGCGCTATCGAGCTGCCTGATAGCGTGAAAGGAAGGGTCCAAAGCGGTGGAAGCAGTCTCCGAAGTGTCGCGACCGCCGGACGAGCTCTCTTTTTCCGAGCGTCCGTATTCCGAACAATACCGATCAAGGCTGTGTTAATCTTGACAATATCTGTGGCGCGTAATCGATAGAGTATGAGATCCGTCGATACATATTTAAAAAAAAGTATCGGCTCGACTCGTTAACTTCCGACTCGGTAACTTTCGACGAAGACAACGAGCAATTTTATCTCCTCAGTCAGTAGTGCGATTCTGTAACACGTTATTGGAGTTAACGACACTTTCGTTATCGTTGCGCAGCTTTTGTCGTATACCGTAGAAAAGCTAAAAACGTAACGATAATGAAACTGACCTTCTTCTAATAACCAGTTAAAGAATCGCACCACTGGACGCTCGTGCAGAAAAGTCGAGAAGACGCTTACTTGCTTTATTGAGTATATTCGTTAATGACACGTATATTATGTTAAAGGGACAAGAAAAGACGAAAGTTATTTCGTGACTTAACGCGTTATTTTATCGTAGATTCTCCAGAGAGCTTGGATCGAGTAAGTTCGAGAAGAAGTTCGAGTACAAAGTAGCGTAGATGAATTAGAAGTTATCTTTGTTCGTGTGCCGATAAGCAGAAACCGTACTTACAGAAATATTTCATATTTTACGTGAAAGAGGGGAGGGGGTGAGCGGGGGGATCTTCATAAATTGAATGAGGGTGTAAATGGATAACGGAACTTTGTACTTTTCCGTTAATTCGAAACCGACTTTATTTTAACTTGGACTGTCGAGAACTCGGACTTTGTACGAAACTTCACTCTTAAGGCTTACTCGCCGGAAACTTTCATACGGAAGATTGAAAACTTGCTACGAATGTGATAAACTCCGTCGTTTTTCGAAGCACCATGTTTCAAATGTTACTTTTAGGATTAACCGCAAAACGTGTACGATATTGCTGCGGTTTTTCGCAATACAATATACAATTTGAGTTCGAAATAAGTAATTCTCAGTTCTGGCAAAGATATGATGAATAAAATGGAAAAAATGAAATTAATAAAATATTCATGAAATGTATAGAGATGTGTTTTGCGTAGAGCACCAGAGCGGTTAAAGATTAAAATTAGCAAAAATACCTCAGCGTTAGCTGTTACCTCAAG